TCGACGTCGACGCGCATGTGGCTGAGGAACATGGTCGGGTTCAGCCGCACGACCTAGTTTGCGCTCTACTGTGACGGCGATTCGGAAGACGATGTGGTACCTTGTCGGGCGGGTCGCCTTGCTCCCATTTTTCCCGGCACGAGTAGATGAGGATGTGGTCGTCCTGGAGCGAGACGAACCGCATGTGCCATTCGCGGAAGAAGAAGATATTGCGCTCGAGGAACATGAGATTGTCGTTGAGCGTTTGCTAGACGCAGGATGCTGCATGAGCGATGCGCAGGGTAGGCGACGTACGCGGTAGATGATTGCGCTCTTGGCCCGACCGAGCGACTTGGGCGTCCACGGCGCCTGCGGCGAGTACGTGCTCGCGTCGGAGATGGACGCATTGTTCTCGTCGTGCGTGAGGTGCATGGACTGCGTGAGCACCTTGCGCACGAGGCTGTCGCCCTCGGGCGAGGCCTTGTCGATCGCGAGCGCTGTCTCGAGGTCCATTGTCCGGCTTGTTCCAAGTGTTGTAGATTACCACCTGTTTAAACAGCCCACATCGAAAAAGACGCCGTCGAAACCGAGGACGACGTTGTGCGTTAAATGCGTTTATTGGGTAAACACACGCCGTGGATCTTGAACCGTCGTCGTCGACAGGACCGACACCACGCCGACCAATGGATGTCGGCTGCTGTCCATACACGTCGACGCATTGCAAGCCCATGTACGCAGGTGGCGCGTAGAGTTATGCGGCAGCGGCGTCTAGGTCATCCTCCTCGGCGAAGCGATGCTGCATGCCAATGTGGTCCTCGCCAAAGGTTTGATTTTGTTCATTGGGGAGGAAGATGCAAATGCACTGCAGCCCGTCGCCTCCGATCACATGATCGTGCACAGATAGCAGCACGTGCACGTGCAGTACCCCGTCTTCTTGTCAGCTTGTTGGACGTTCTCAAGGCCGCCGCGCGCGTTCTCCCGGGCGTCCTCTGTGTTGTTGGCGATTTCAACTACAGCATTCGCCCATCTTAGCACCGTCATGAGCAATCAAATGTCAGTGGCCGTACTCACAACGTCTTTTTGGTCTTCGAGGAGACCGCCCACTTCTTCGTACGCGGCCTTGATCTCGCGCAGCTGGTGGTTGATCTTGATGATGTCTTCTTCGCGCCGCACGAGATCTACATGCGATCGCACCTCGACCTCGATGGCGTCTCGTACCATCTTCGTTGTAGACGCTCACTTGAGCTTGCGCGTAGAGCTGGTCTTCGTTGCACGCGAGGCCGCCTTGCGTGGACGCATCCAGTTTCGTGGACGTTCTCCGAATGAGCTCGACCGCCGACTGTTCGGACGCGACCATGCTGCTGCACGCCTGCTCAAATGCGGTCACCTGCGCCTGAAAGCCCTTGGAGAGCTTGCGCACGGCGCTCTTGTTGGCGGTCGAAGTGGCGCTTGAGAGGCTCTGTAGCTGCTTGCGCAGCATCTGCACCGAGTCGTTGCCCTCCTTTGCGAGCGCATTGAGCTGGTCGTGGTTGGCGCGCGTGTCCTGCGGCGTCTTAAAAAGCGACGTCTTGGTCTTGATGTCGCTCGTGATGCGTCCGAGCCGCGTGATCGCGGTCTCGACCTCGGTCACGGCCATGTCGGCGGCCATCGTCGCTCCAGCACACGATGTCAGGAATGATTGTCGTGCCCGCATCCGGATTCGAAGGTCGAGGGATCGTATCCGGATTGCCGCGAAAGATGAGTATTTTGCAATTGATCCGCAATTTGGCTCAATTGGTCCGCAACTTTAAGCATGTTCACGTGGTCCGCAAGTCTTTTGATTAGACAGCACAGGGTGGTACCGGAGACGCTCTAATCTAACCCTATTTGTTGAGGGAGTGACTTGGGCAGCGCGGTGTTGAGGTCTTGAGGATGGTTGGATGGTAAGGGGAGGTAGGGTAAGTAAGGGCGTGTGGTCGTGGGCTTTTGGCGTGCTGGGGTGTCAGGGTGCTGGTAGAAGGGTGGCTTGCGGACCAAGTGAGCATATTGGTTTGATATTGCGGACCAATTGAGAATATTTCGCCAAATTGAAAAATACTCGCGAAAGATTCCCAACCATGTGCGCAACGGCCGTCCTCGTGGACGATCGGCGGCGGGGATCGGCGAGCAGCATTGGCACACCTGGCCCAGCTCGTCCATATCAACATGTGCATGGGATGGGCTGGATGAGGCCAGAAGCTGTCGCCATGGAAGAATTGACCCTCGCTGGTAAGAGCGCATGGCACCAAGCAAGTGGCATCTCTACGGCTCGATGATTACAGTTTAGCGCTGGAGCTTGCGAAGCCCGTAGCCAATGGCGACAGCGGCAAGGACCGACTTGGACACGGTGGCCCAGCGCGACCGATGCTTGGCCTCGTCGTCGCCGTCCTTGGTGTGGCGTAGCCGGAGCACGGACGACGGCTGTTGCAGCAAGAGTTGCTGGGCGTATTGGAGATAGCGCTGGGACGACCGGGGCAAGGCGGCAATGAGCTGGAGGCAGCGCACCGACAGAGACGCGCACGCCACCGTCCCGAGCACGGAGAGCAGTGCGACGCGGCAAAGAATGAAAAACTGCGCGCGCGCCTTGGCCGACCGTGTGAGCTACAAACAAGCGTGAGCATCCATCGCAGCGTCGGTTCGGATGGTACCTGGAAGACAAAGAGGCAGGACGAGATCGCCGCCGTCCGGTTCACTAGCTTTGGCGACGGCAGTGCGACCACTTGCTGGATCGTTCTACGACAAGCGCATGAGGCCAATGCATGCAAGAGCAGCGTACGAGGCAACACGCGCGTGGATCAAGTCGGCGAGGATCGTTGGGTCGTCCTTGGGTGGAGTATTCGTGGCGGCGGCAAAGTCAAAGCCAAACGAGTAGCTCGGCGTCGACTGGGCGACAACGGCCGACGACGGCCGCCGGCGTAGCACGACCATCTCATCGTTCCGTTCCAATGGGCTCTCGGGCAACAACGTCTCTTGCACCGCGTCAGGGAGGAGGTGGAGGAGACCAGGTTTGAGCAGCCGCGCTTGGTCGTCGGCGGGTAGACTCCGTACCACGCGCTGCTGCTCGGCGAGCGAGAGTGGCATCAGGAACGGCACGTACTTTTGCATGCTGTCAAAGAACGATGTGTCGGTGAGCCACTCGAGCAGCGTCGTCTGGAGCAGCATCGTCTGGA